ACTGGTAGACTGTCTCTTTTTGCTGAGACAAAGTACTTGATCCCCAAAATGAAGGAAGGAAAGATTTATTTAGCTTACAGTTTTTGGAGGTTTCAGTCCATACTCAGCTGGCTCCAAGGCAGGGTGACATGGCTAAGGGGCAGCCATTCATGGTGGCTGCAAGCAAAAAGAGCAAAAAGGGGAAAGCATGCCTCCTTCCCCGCCTTATATTGTGTGCTGGCTACCTGCCCTGAGTGCATGCAGTACTCATACCACCAATTCCAGCGCTAGACAATGAACCAGTCACAAATATTAGATTTCAGTTGCCTCCATGACTGCATGAGGCTTTGAGGAGGCATCCAAACATGAACCATAATATAGATATAAAGGATAAAATAATCATTTGCAAGATTTCCCTGACAGTATTTTTCTTTTTCAGTTCCAGTCTGCTTAGATAGCCCATCCTCTCTACTGTCAAGTTCTACGTTGAGCTTTCCCCCACCTCATTTGCTCCATTGAGCTTTTATTCTATTTTGACTTCAGCCTTTTGTGCCCTTTTCCATTAGATTCCATTGTACTTTCTTGCCCATCTCACCCTCTAAGGATATATTTAGTGTCTCCATGTAGGATTAGGCCTTTCTGAAACTTTGTTTTCTTCTCCTTTGCATTTCCTAATACTACCTTTTCTAAAATGTGTATTTTGCTCTATTTATTTCTTTGGTTTTTATCTGAATGATTTTGAGAATATTACTTGATTCCAACAATCCTTATGATGATCACATATCAAAGGAATTATATCTGTCCAGGAAAATTTTCTTCTCAAGGTGACCTTGTCTCAGGAGGAATGGAGGGAAGGACAAAAAGATAGATGCAAAAGAGAGAGAAGAAATAAAGAAAAGCCTGGTGATATAGTTCAATGCAAAAGCCTTGGATTCAGTCCTTAGTACCAGCAGGGGGGAAAATCTGCATTTTAATAAACTTTCTTGCCTATTTACATGAAGTGCTATAAACTAGATAAGTTTCTTTTCTTACTCTCCATTTGTTCCATCCTTTTTCACACTTATTTTCCCCACAGTTTTGGATGCCACATATAGTTTGTTATAGATACATCAGTAGAGACCCCTTTAAAGTAACGAACCACTAGAAATTTAACTGTATAAAACCCTTAAATTCAATCTTATTTATCAAAACAAAGAGATAAAAGACAAACTTTTTTTTAAAAAAAGCATGATTTATCAACTTTTAAACTTTGATTTATTGTAAATAGTCATTTTAGTTCAGAGTGATTGAGAATTTTACTTACATATAAGGTGTTCTGAAAAATATTTCCTAATACAATTTTTTTGATTATTCATTATGATATTTGAAATTTTCTAAATATAACTGAAATTTTTTAAAAAAAAGATTATCAGAATTTTATGTAAGACTCACTGTGTTGACTTCCCGGAGAACATGGCAGACAAATAACAGCAGCCAAGGAGGCTCTCTGAGATTACCAGTTTAGAATCCAGGAGCAGTGCCGTGTGAGGAGTCCTACGCGAGGGGAGATGTACCCTGTCGATCCAGGAACAAACTAAGCTGAGAGAAACCAACTGGAAATGCAATCCTGATGCTATAACAGGAAGAGATAAAATCTCAGTGTGGAAGCTGGATCCCACACCACTGGAAGCCGCGATTTGAATTTCCTGCTGCCGCTACTGTGTCCCAATCTGCACGACAGAGAGAGAGACGCACAAACGCTCTGAGAGCTGGAATTGGCCAACCAAACGGTGTTGAGAGCGGGACTGGCAGGGAGCCCTGCATCGACCAGCAGTGAGTGAGAGAAATGGGGACCCTTTCATAGACTAGGAGGCTCCAATAGAGGACATTCTGGGAACGAGCAGACTAGCCGGAACAGGGCCCTGCAGTGACTTTAGTCGCATATTCTCCTCTCAAGCGGGAGTGGTGGGGAGGAGCGCTTGGCCTGGTGACGCCGCGGACTAAGATCCAGTAGGCTAGCCCAAATCAGGTCCCTGCGCCTGGTGGTGCACCCTAGCAGTGAAGCCTTTGGTAGGTTGACCTGGAGGGGTGGGCCCAGCAAAGGCTGCCCAGGTCTGTGTCTCCTTAGTACACTGCAGTGGGCGGGAACACCTAGCCGGCGGATTCAAACAAACTGTAACCAACAAAGAAAAAAACTGGGCCTCCTATATACGCTTGTACAGAAGGAACAAAAAGTATGGGAAGAGGTAGCAACAAGAAAGGGTCCTCAGTCCCGAATCCTGAGAACACTGATCCAGGAAAGGTAAATGTAAAAGAGAATGAAGACAGAAAACATACAATATCAGACATGGCACCTATAGGTAGATATAAAGCTGTATCTCCGGAGCCTCATAGACAAGTTCAAAAATGAAGTATTTAGTGAAATAAAGCAAGAAATAAGTAGAATAGTTAGAGAAGTGCTAAGCACCGCCCAATTAAAAACAGATGGTGGAATGGAAGAACAGAAAAAAAGGGGAGAATTGTTTGATGGAGAAAATGGAGAAAACATAGAATATGTGGGTTCACAGAGATTACCAGGAAACTAAAAACTCTATTGAAAGCTGGTATAACAGCTTGAAAGAAACTAAGGATAGATTATCAGAACTGGAGGACAGATTTGTAATGTGGGAGCATGAAACGAAAAACTTAAAAATAACAAGAAAACAAACAGCAGTAATACAAAGACTAGAAGATGATAAGAGGATCTATAACTTAAGAATTAAGAACATAGAAGAAGAAGTAGGGACTAAAATAAATGAACTACAAAAGCTATTCACAGAAATAATCCAGGAGAATTTCCCTAATTTAGCAAAAGGTAAAGATACTCAGATGTATGAGGCATACAGGACCCCAGCCACCTACAACCCAAACAGAGGTACACCCAGGCATATAATAATAAAAATTACAGAAATCCAATATAAGAACAGAATATCAAAAGCCATCAGAGACAAGAAACAGATCACTTACAAGGGAACACCCATCAGAATTACAGCAGACTTCGGCACAAACCATCAAATCATGAAGAGCGTAGGGGGAAATAATTCAAGTTTTGAAAGATAATAACCTCCAGCCAAGATTGATATATCCTGCACAACTGTCCCTAGAAATTGATGGAAAAACAAGGTTCTTCCAGTATAAAGAGGAACTAGGGGAATTTGCAACCACCAATTCAACTCTACAGAGATTACTGCAGGATATTCTAAAAATGAAAAATACCAAGATTCCAGAAACAATGGCAGAGCGGCCACAATGAATGGAGCAGAAAGCAAAATGAAGAGGACAAACTTGACAACTAATGACAGAAAAAGAGCTCAACAGAAATGAGGCAGAGAAGGTTGGATGGTAGGAACAGGCATTTTGGAGGAAACAAGACATCATAATAGCTAGTGCTGATTTAATATCCTCTTGTTTTGAAGTCCCATCAAGCTTTTGTTCTTCTGTCTCCATCGGTTTTAACGTGTTGTATCTTATTGGGTTTTATTATATGTGATAATATAAACAAAAACTTTGATAGACAAGGAGATTATACAGAAACCATTGGTCATTTTCTGTTAGTTGATTCTAAATACTTTTTAATACTGTCATTCTCTTGAGTGGTTTTACATGGTCTTGATATATTTGATGCTACAGTATACGAAGTTATACCCAAAGATTTTAAGGGAAGAGACACTATGGTAACTATTATTATGTCCAGATTATCCTGTGGTGAAACACTATTTTGCTTAAATGGCTATGTTTTCACCTGCACTGTTTTGTTGTTATGCCCTTTTTTTATCTCAATCTCCTTTTTATTATCTACTTTTTCATTTTTATCCTTTTAGTTAAGGGAAAAATAAATAAAAAATAGCAGGATATATTATAGTAATGCATTTTGATTTCCTATTAACTTGATTGGAAACTCTGTATTGCTCTCACCATCTTGTTTTGACTGATTTTTCTCTATTCTGTTATGCTAGATAGTACCAAGTTTGAAAGTATAGGCAACAACTATGAAGACAATAAGATTCATTGTGACACCCATTCTGGTTGACTATTATCTTCTTTTGAAGTCCTCTAATGTCTCCAATGTTTTGGTTTTCCTGGTCTTATTCTTTACTGTTTTGTTCAATTTTATTATAACTGATGATATAGGCAATTCTTTTTAAGATAACAAGAGGCATTATGGTAACCATTGTTGATCACCTTGTATTTTGTTTTTACGTTATGTATTATGTTCATCCTTTTGATTTGACTGACTCTGTCCTGGTATGTCACATTTGGTTTTACTTTCTTTAAAAAAAAAAAGTAATAAGAACTGTGGGAGTAATAAAACCCAAAATATGTAATTGTCATTGTACAAAAGAAAGGAAAAGAAAGTTCTCTAAAAGATGTAACTGCATATGTATTTAAGTGTATAAGATACATAGCCATATAGTTTTGTTGGATCATTGAACAAAACTGTTTGCAGTCTCACTGTTTGAAAGTCCCTCTATAGGCTTTAATTTTGTAACTTCAACAACTATTTCTAAGATGACAATATGTAATTAACTAGTGATTTCGTACTGCTTATTTTTTCTGAAAGTCTGTATAACTTGTACCCTTTTTCTGTTTTTTTTTTTGTCCTCCTTAAATAAAATTTTAAAAAAAGAATTTTATGTAAGATACAGATGATCACATATTCAAGTCAAATAAATTGAAGTGTTCAAGTTAAGCAAACCATCAACATAAAAATGTAGATTTACTGTATACATTTTTCATTAATCATTTTAACGTAGAAAGTAGAAAATGTAGTTTATTTTAAGGTGGTTCATTTTACTGAAAACTACATAACAAAACAGGTGTTCTTACAGTGTCAGCTACTCAGTTTATAAATGCTGCATTTATTATGATAGATGCAGATATCGAGGTCTTTAAAAAAATAACCTTGTCTTTTTATAGCAGAAGTTTACTGTTTAACTTTTTTTTTTTAAATCAAAGGAACTCTGTAAACATTTTCATTAAAAACTTGCTTATTTATCTTTTAGGTTAAATCTGTAAAAACAGGATCTGTTTTTTGGACAATGTGCTGCTGTTTATCATATTTCTATATGGTAAGGTTTCATGTTTGAAACTGTGGGTTCTAACAAATTTTAGCACAATTCCTTGTCACATTCTCATCAACGAGGACTAATTTTCTACTTTCTTTCTCCTAAAGCCATTAGGGTCTTGATTTTTATCTGATGCTCTTTTTTTACTACTATCCTCTTCTTTCATCCCTAAACCTGATCCTATACATAGACTTAAGTTTTGGTGGAGAGGACTAATACTGATTCCCTGGAAATCACTGTATATGATGAATAACATATTTTTCCAGATATTAATTTTTAAATATTTTAACTTTTTATTTACATTTAGAGCTTTTAAAATTATCTCTGGCTTTGTATTTTCAATTACACTGATAAGAAAGATGTTTTCCAAATAATATTACAAAATATAATGGAACATAAATTTTTTTCTGTGAAATATTGAGCACTGGAACCATGTTTAAACTTTTATAATTAAAAGTTGGATAATTAAAAATAATTGTACCAAAAATTAGGGTTCTTCTATTAGGATTCACTAAAGAACTGCTGAATGATGAAATAGAAAACTGAGTTTTTATTAGTCATCATTTACTCAGTGTGATAAGTTGGCCTACCGTAAAAAAAAATGAGAAAACTTAGAAATCTTAGAGAAAAAGATAACCTAAAGTGAAGATTAACTTGTAGAAAGAATGTTCTTTAAGGTCCATCTCGTTTCATCCTCCCCCTCCCCCGCCCCCCTTACTGGCCATCAAATGCACAATCTCACTTTTGTCAAACAGGCTTTATACAGCTGAGCTAAATCCCTGGCTTGTTTGCATTTTTGGTGGGAGAGTGCTGGGGATTGAACCCATGACCTTTTGCTTGGCCAGCAGGCACTTATACAGCTGAACTAAATCCTGGCCCCTATGTTTACATTCTTTAAGACTTGTTTGCATTCTTTAAAGTACATGGAAGGGAAAAAACAAAACAAACAAACAAAAACAAAGAAAAAACTTGTTAGGGTGAGTCTGTATGGGATAGAAAGGAAATAATGCCCTATATTATATTGAAAGAGCGTGCATAAGACTAACAAGTACTTCTCAAAACATCAGATTCTATTTCAAATTGCCTTGCCTTCTCTCTGTGGGTAAATAAGGCAGTATGCTGACACTATGCTCTGTTTTCAAAATTCTAGTGATTCTCTAGTCATTATCTAAAAATGACTGCATACTCTGTATCTTCAGACTACCCTATATAATTTTTTTAAAAACAGGTAAATTCGAGGTTCGATATTTTTTTCACTGTTCTACCTGTCATTTTTACTCCACAGCCTATATAATAGTCTTGTGCTGAAAATTGATAATTTTGCTGATTAAATTATTAAATAATTTTAAACCAATAGAGTAAATATGTGCTTCAGTGGCCTTAAAGTGGTTAAAGTCTAGCATGTGTTCTGGGCAAGCATACTCAGTAATAGCAAATTTATTCTCTTTAGAGTTTAAAATTAAAGTTTGAAAATAACTGTTTAATAAAGGCAACATAATTTTGATGAGAAAAATAGCAAGTAATTAAAGCAGTAAGTAGATATACATTATAAACTGATGGCAGTTCCTTATAAGGGATTCTGAAATATTTTAGATTATGGCAACATCATTAGATTATGCATATGTTCTCCTAAGGTGATAGCATCACTGATTCTTTCAAGCTTTTAGTTATTAGAGTACATCTAAAATTTTTTATCTTAATAAGAGCTTACTGCCTGTTGAATGTACTAGAATATTAATACTTTACTATTAGTTGAAGGTGAACATTCTCTGTTAAGACTGTTTAGCAATTTAGACAAGAACATCCTCCGTATTCTCATTAAGTGGTGTTATATATATTGTGTAGGTCACATCATAATGAAATCTTCTTTTATAATTCATTTGTAGGAAAAACATTTATACCCAGCAGGTACTTTTAAGAATCTCAAAGCGTATTACAGTCCTCCAAATAGTCTTTTTGGTTGAATTGTTGATGAGTCCTAACATTCATTGTTTTACTCTCAGTGAACTTTCTTAAATTTTTCAAAAATAAAAGCTGATTTTTTAAAAATAAATTTAAAACTTTACGGTTTATATTCTATAACTTTGTCACCATGACTGTTTACTACCGGTCTACAAATTACAATGTTCACAGCTTTCCTATTAAATCTAATTTAATTCAAATCAAGAAAATAAGGATAAATAGGTTATATAAACCCACATTTAAATATGATTCAAAATTTCTAAAAATTCTATAGGCTTTATATAGGCTTCTTTTATATTCTATAGGTTTTATATATATGCTGTCATGACAGGTAATTTGAAAGGTAGAGAATATTAAAAAGTAAAACATGACTTGTCTTGGTATTTCTTCTTGCACAGGTCTCTGCTTGGGGTGGGTATGTCTTTATCATCAACCTTATTCCACTGCATGTATTTGTGCTGTTACTGATGCAGAGATACAGCAAGAGAGTCTACATAGGTAAGTCACTAAATTTTTGAAATCTTATCACCAAGACTCACATATATCATTAAACAGATGTTTCCCATTTTGGTCATTATTACCCAAATAAAGATAAAAGTAATTATATATTCATTTTGCTTTTTATATACTAGCAGAACATTTTTATGTAAATGCTTTATCAGTTAGCTTGAGTTTTGTTTCCTTTTGGTAGGATTAATCTGGGCTTAGTATTTGTTGGCTGCTGCTGCTGTTGTAGGGGTGATGGTAATTGTTTGGGTTTTTTTGAGATAGGGTCTCACTATGCAGTTAAAGCTGGCCTTGAACTCCCTTTGTAACCCAGGGTGGTCTCGAACTCTCAGTGTTCCTCTTGCCTCAGCTTCTCATGTGCTGGAATTACAGACGTATGTCACCTTGCCTGGCTTATTCACCTATTCTGTCTTCTTAATTTAGGGACATGGTCATTTGTGTCATGAAAATTCTTTGTTTTTTACACCACACTCATTCAATTTTCTCAATGTAAGAGATTTAAATTGTCAAAATCAGTAGTTTAATAAACACCTGAAATCTCTTTTTGTGTGATACACAAGTAGACTGACTCTCTGTTGCTTCTAGAAAATGTTTTTTACTTGTACTATACACTTCTTAAGTCTTTATACTAATAAGATGTTTATTGATAGATGAAGAGTTAGCTTAGAACTTAGTTTCATTGTAGAACTTTTTTGAATCATAGTGAACTTTTAATGAATCATAGTGATTGAAATCTGAAACTATTGTCTTAATAAAATGTTATACTTCTATTATACTGTTAGAAAATAGTAACAAGATAAAACTTACATTTTTAAATATGTTCAGTTTTTTAGACATAGTGGCTTGGGAGGTCTCAAAAATTGACCATAGTGTTAGCATATGGCCTAGCAGTTGCACTCTTAGTCATTTACTTAAGAATGCAGAAAATAGATGTGATGATGCATACTGGTAGTCTCAGCACATGGGAGTCTAAGACAAGAGGATCAGAGTTTGAGGCCATCCTGACTATAGTGAAACACTGTTGGTAAAACCAAAATATAAGTCACACAAAACTTCTACATCATGCATTATTATTGTTAAGCTGAAAAGTGAAAACAAATGTCTTATCAGCTGATAAATGAGTAAATAAAATGTAACTATATACATACATACAGTGTAAGTATATACATACACTGAAGTTCTATTCTGCCATAAGGAATGGAATACTGATACTTGTTATAGTGTGAACCTTGTAAGCATTATACTCAATTAGCCAGTTACAAAATGCTACATAGGTAAATCCATAGAGGCAAGAAGTAAATTAGTGGTTTCGTGCTGCTTGGGGAAGGGGAAAATGGTAGAGAAGTGTTTACTAATGGAAATAAGGTTGGGGAGGATAGAGAGGTGTTATGAGATTAGTAGTGATGGCCATATAACCTTGTGAATATACTAGAAGCCACTAAATTATAGATTTTTAGAAGGTGTATTTTCTAATATATAAATTATATCAAAAGTAAATACAAAGCCAAAAATTCTTAAGTGTATAGTCCTTATAATATTTCTGAGAATATATATTGTTGTTACACTCATTTTTTAGATAGGATAGAGAAAAAGACATACTAATTTGCTGAAGCTCATAGAGCTGAGTCCTGAACTTACATATTTTGGCTTTAAAGCCCATGATTGTAAGAACCACTATAACTTTATGCCTTTTTATGTAAATAGATAACTTGACTGTCACAATAAGATCAACTTATGACATGTCCTATATCTGAAAAGAATACATAATAATTAGGGTCCCAGAAGAATATAGGTAAAAAGAAAAAGTTATTTAAGTGGTCAGGGGGAAAACATAAAATGTTTTTTGTTTAATTAAAAAACAAACTAAATTTTAATAGGGCAACAGGTAGAATAGGGGAAAGATTAAAAGACATACTGTTGTGAAATGCCCATGAATCAAGGAGCCAAAGTAGATATCAGAAGTAGTCAGATAAATAATGTTCCTGAAAATGTTAAATGGGAATACTTAAAACATCAACAGTGTATAGATCCCCTTGAACATTATCACCCATATGAACTGGACAAAAGGGTGAAATGAGAAAAAAGACTTTGTATTTGCTGAGAAAGATTTCTGTATTTACTGTAGAAACATGCAATTGGTACTACTTTAATTGCCTCTTGAGAACATTTCTTGTTTTTAGAACAAAGAAAAATAAAATAGTTCAGGGATATATGTAAAATTAGATTAGTAAATGTCTCAGGTAATCCTAATAGTGCTAAAATTCTCTACCCTGATTCTTTTATCTCTTAGTGTAAGAGTGTTTCTATCTTTGTATAGTTTACATTCAGTAGGAAGGAAAATGATGGTAGAAAGCAAATAGTTCTCTTCCTTTATACAGACTTTATTAGAATTTTAAATTTGATTCCTCCTGTCTTATAATCATTCTGAAAAGTATATATAAGGTTGTCCTTTGATGTAAGCGTATATAATGTCCTATGTCTACTGTGCCTATCTTTACACAGAAATAGATGGGTAAGGATTTGTAAATGGGAAACTCAGTCTCATTTTATTCTGAGTACCATATTAAATTTATTTTGAATGAATTGTAAAGTAATTCTGAAAAAGTTTGTTTCCCCTTTCAGTAAGATTGTTTATTTGCATGTTTCTTTAAATCACAGCTAGAGAACTGTGTGTTCACATGTCACAGAATGTCCATTCACTTGGGAGGCTGAGGCAGGCGAATCATTGCAAGTTCAAGGCCAGCCTAGGCTACAAAGTCTCAAAAAGACCAAAAAAAAAAAAAAAAAAAAGGTCTATGAAAAGTAATATGGATTCTTTGGTATGAGCAGAGAGAACAGCATGAGTTGGGGAAGAGGTATAAGAAAAACTGAGATGGGGAGGTTTTTTAATTTTGAGGAGAAAAATTACAGACTTTTGTGAAGATACCTTTTGGAGTTGTTTAATTTCATTGTATTAGGAAGTGAATGTTACATAATTATGGCATAAAGAGGATTCTAATGTTTTAATGAAAACTTCCAGTTCTTTTTTCAGTACATGCTTGCAGTACATGGTGAATACATTCCTTGTGGGTTGCTGGAACACATCTGACTTCTTTTTACATCCCTTTCTCCTCCCACTCCCAACATCTCTTAATCCCCTTCTAATCTGTCTATGATCCAGCTCCCTATTTCCTCCTATTGTCTGTCTTTGGTTTTTGCTCACTACTTATACTTTGCTTTTCTCATATGAAAGAAACCAAATGATTGATTTTTTTTTTTTTTTTTTTTTTTTTTTTTTTTTTGGTATTGAGGGTTGAAGTCATGACCTTGCACTTAACAGGCAGGTGGTTTGAGCCACTGAGCTAAATCTTTGGCCCAGAACCATATGATTTTTAAGCCTGAGTGCTTGTGTATTCAAGGTGCATTCGTTTTTCTACAAATGACTCAAATTTATGCTTACTATGTATGAATACCACATTTTCTTTATTCATTCATCTGTTGATAGACATATGGGCTGCATCCAAGATTTAGCTATTAAGAATTATACTACTGTAAATACAGGTATGTGTGTATCATGATATCTTTAACTCTTTCAGAAGATACCTAGAAGGGAAATAGCTGGCTCAAATGGAATTTCCAGTTACAGCTGTTTTTGAAGAAACTGCACTTTGGATTTAATTCTCTGTCTGAGGTGTAGCCTTCTGCATGTGGATAGCCCAGTTTTCCAGTACCATTTGTCTTTCCTCTAACATGTTTTTAGACCCTTTGTCAAAGATCAGTAAGCTGTATGTGTTTGGGGTTGTTTCTGCATCCTTTATTCTAGTTTGCTGATCCATATGCCTGTTTTTGTGTCAGTACCACATAACTTTAAATCTGGTATTATCATATCTCCTGTTTTGCTCTTGTTACCAAGGATTGCTTTTGATATTGTAGGTCTTCTGTCATTCCATATAAATTTTAGGATTGTTTTTCTAGTTTTATAAGGAGTAGTTGGTATTTTGATTGGGATTACATCAAATCTATATATATATCAGTTTTGGAAATATGGCCATATGGGCATCTTTCCATTTCCTGATGTCCTTGTTGATCTCCCTCTTTTGGAGTACAGTATGTGTTTATGTTATATTTGTCTTTCATTTCCTCAGTTACGTTAACTCCTAAATTAATTTTTCTTAACTGTTATTGTAAATGGTATTGTTTACCTAATTTCTTTCTTGGTGGAAGAACTCCCAATTCTTGTATTTATGGAAAGACTGGTTTGTAGGTATTGCAAAACACTGATGGGACATGAAATTATTTGACCTTTCTAATAAGATGTCACACTTTATTTATAAGAAAATTTATAAAAGATGTGAGAACAGGTAATTGGAAAATGTGGAATTGGCTTAAATGTTCAGCAGGGAAATGATTGCTTAAATTACAGTGTTGTGAGGTAGACTATTGTGAAGACATTAAATGTAATCTTGAGTAATTGATGATGTAGGAAAATATTAAAAAGCAGACAGAAAGAATCACCAATGTTTTGTTTCTCTGCACTTCTCTTTTTAGGCTTTCTACAGTGAAGATAAATAAGAAACAAAGTGTACCTTTTAGTTTATAGAAATAAGTATTTCACTGCTCATGATATATAAGGGCCATATTTTAAATGTCACTGGAGCAGCTTGATTATGGTACTGTCTAGATTTTCTGTAGTGAGCTGAGCAAGGAGATTGCTGGTTATTTTTCTTATTATAGTTCAAATGTATTTTTATTTTGATAATGTGCTACACCAATTATTAAATGAAAAGTTTTATGCACATACTGTAGAGTTAGTTTCTGATAAATTACAGAAATTTATATTTTGCAAATAAAGGAAAGATAATCATTCTGTTGAGATTTGAAGTGAAGCCACAATGGCTCAGATTTATTCTTGGTAGCTATAAACAGAATATATGTAATCACAGCTTTACTTATGAAAGACGTAAAAAGATTAAATGTAAAATTTCTAGATTTTATAGCAGCTAGAAGCCCTA